CTTTCGCGCCCCCTGTAGTTTGCCGTGTCCTCTCGGGCTTTGCCTTCCGACTTTTCCCCTGTTTGACATCGGATCGGAGGCGCGCTTGGCATTGCCGATGGCGGGGTGGGGTATGGGCGTGGCGGGGCACAACACTGAACGCTGCTCCGCGCTGTTTTGCCTTTCATGTTGCGACCAAAGAGAAAGACGACGAGGAGCTGTCTTTCACCCAAGGGGAACTGTTTGATCACTTTCAAGTCATTTTGGAGTCTTTGACGTCCCAGATGACATCCCTCGAGCCAAACTAGTGACTATTTCGTGACTATTTGACGTCATTTTGATGTACATGAGACTATCATGATGTTCTCCTTGGGCAGAGGAGTCTTTATCCGCGACACAGTGCACAGTGCGACGGCTGTTCGCTGTTCGGGTGCAGCGAACCTCCCGGAGCCCGCATCTAGCCCGCACCGAGACCGAGGGACCCGGGAGGAGGCGTGCTCGCCTCGTCATCGCGATGCACATCAGCATCAGGCGCCAGATGGATAGATATGGAGTGTGAGCCGGAGCGTCCCGGCGGGGCGCCCTCCTCCTCCTCGCCCTGCCTCTGATGGTCCTCCCCGGGAAGGTTTAGCGATGAGGAGCAAGAGAGAGGCGGAGGAGGCGCGCGGGGGGCGCGCCGCTGCCCTAGAAAGACACCGTTACCCGTCTCGGCCCGGCCGTGCCGGTGCGGCGCGCCAGGCGCGGCCTGCACAGCGAGCCCGCCGGCAGGAGGGGGTAACAAATTACCGTTCGAATGGTCCGCACCTCTAACATCACATAACTGAGCGGCAGCGGGCGGCGCGCGGCCCGGGCGGAACTGGGTACGGCCCGGCTCGGCCCCCAACGCATCCCAAGGCCATGAGATCTGCCGAGCAGCGTTGTGGCGTGGCCCGGCGCGGCGGTCCAGGCCGTGTCCTTCCCTCTGCTCGCTCCGGCGCTCGATACAAGAGGCTTGGACCGCAACACACGGGCGTCGCGCGTAGGGAAACAGACAGTAGCCGGCAAACCCATGCAGGCGTTAGCCAGGCGAGGAGGAGGAGCAGCAGCAGCAGCTGTTTCGCACGACTCTGAGAGAAACGGGAAGGCCATTGCGCTTCTCTCCACGTCACGTACAGGGTCGGTGCCTTCGAATTGAACTACAAAAGTTTGAAATTTCAAACTTAATTTAATATATAAACTGTAAAGCAGCCGCTGTACGGTGGGCGTCCAGCCCGGTTGGAGGGAAAGGGGAAAGGGTATACAGGGTGTTTCACAGACCCCTACTTTAGGTCGCTTATGCTGTACCGCATTCACGCGTGTGGGTGGGTTTGCCTTCCCGCTAGGCGCCGTAGGACGCCACTGGCACTGGTCCGGTGCTACCGCGGAGCTTTCACACGCCCCCGCCTCTGGCCCGCCTCTGGCCCGCCTCCGGCCCGCCCGCGCCGCGGCCGTCACGCGCATGACGCTGTCCGCGCGGCACGCGAGTGACGTGATGTGACGCCGCGGCACGTCGCCTCCACGATAATGCCCTGGCGTGTGCTCTATCCCGCCGTCCTGGCCCGGCCCGGCCCGGCCTGGACGACGCGCACTTTCCCCTCGATCGGAGAGAAAATGCACACGTGCTGCGCGTCGCGTCGCGGCCGATAGTGCAGGAGCGCGGCGTGGTCTACCCCCCGTTGCCCCCGTACTGCAGGGTGGACTTTCCTCGCGACGACGCCCGGCCCGGCGGGCCGTGTGCGCCGGAGCGTTGAGTATGCACGGCGAATGAAGGCGCCGCCACCGCGGTCCCCTCCTGGCATCCGGCATCACCGCGTCGCTATCGCGCCGCCGTGGAAAATGCAATCTGCGATCCGTGCGAACCGTGAGCAAGCGAGGCAGAGCCCACCTCGCCGCCGACGGGCTTTCCACGCCGTCAACAATCCTCCTCGCTATCCCTCCACGTGCATCCGCCCGCGAGATGTCCTGGAAGCGGCTCCCTCTCCAGCCGCGGGGGATGGAGTGGGTGCGGCCCCGGCCCGGGCCCGGCCCCTGCGGCGGCGTGGCGGCGCGCGGCGGGCTGCGGCTTATCTCTCAGCTATTGTCGCCCTGCAGGCTCTGCTTGGGCTCTGCCTATGGGCTCTGCAGGTGCGCGGGAGGCACAATAGTCCGCGCACCGCCATGTGTGCAGTGCGGATAACAACATTCGGCAGGCTCACGGACAATGCCGCTCCCCGCCCGGGGGCTTCACACATACGACATTCCATGGGTTTTGTTTTTTCTGGTTTTCATTTCCCCCTCTTGTCTCTTCTGTCTT